CTGTTTCAATGGGATAAATATGATACAGACACTCCCGGTTTTGTACTTGGACCATCTATGCATACTCACAGCCCTGTCACATGACTCTGTTACACAAGTGTCATCACTGTGACCAAGGTGCACAGTGCTCGGGAATGACGGGTTTTCCCGCATAACTGTGTTTGCTCCCCACCTGCAAAGCCCACATGTGGGTGGAGGGTGAGCATGGTGATGGTAACCCTCCAGGAACCAGTGGGCATTTCTAGCTTTTCTTACTTTGCCTGCCTCCTGAAGCAGGGGACCAACTTGCCTCCGGGGCAGGCTCCCGCTTTCCGCATTTCTGGGGCACCAATGGTCAGGGGTGTGAGGTTGGAGAGACAGTGGCTCTTAAACCAGGCCCACACCATCGGCATCCCCGGGCGAACATCACAGGAAAGATTCTCAGAGCCACCCAGAGATGCTGCCTCATTCAGCCAACAAGGGCCAAGGGGACCCCTTGCCTGGTGTTCAGAGCTCTGGCTGAGACCACTGCCAGCTCTGCCTGGCTGGTCTGGGGCTGCCTGGCCCTCGGTGGTTCTGCACCAGACTCCCATTCCCTTCTCCTGCTCCTCCTGAGCTTTTGCTTGAGCTCTATTCTCAGGTATTCCCAGAGAACAGGAAACACCCTGGGGGAGTCTGATGGATGTGGCTAAGCTACACTCACTAGGTTGCTCCCCTTCCTTCGAGAATTGTGTGCTTCCATTTTCCATCGCTTTTCTTCATCCCTGATGCCTTCAAACCATTGCTCTTAATATTAAATATGGAGTTTGTTAGCAGGAGAGTTAGTTCAATAAAAGCAACTCTGCCAGGGCCTACCACATGTTGCCCCAAACATTTTCCTGATGGGCAAGTGTGCTCAGAGCATCAAGGTCAGAACTCCTTACAAATTGAGACAAAATTATTTCCCCACTGTTGTTACAAAAAACTTTGGTCACTCCTACTCTTTAGTATCTCTACATTATGTAATACAAACAGTTGTAATTCAGTTGACACATTCTAAACTTAACCAGCAATGAATCAGAGTAATTTCTTCCTCATCCACAGCTTCCCTTCCCCATGCTCAATATGTGTGGCATTTACATAGAATTTGCTGATAGTTCACTTGAGAGGGACAAAAATAATTGTCATAAGCTTTTCAAAAAAAGGAAGGAAAAGGTACTTTTCCACACTTTGATACTTGAACCAATATTTGAATGCATGGAATTCTTGAAGTTTTCAATAAAATGAAAAATAATTAAAATTAAAGAATAAATTCCTGTTCCAAAAGTTTACCCAAATAACTCTTTTCTAAAACAATAGCTGGGCTTGAACAATTGCATGCGCATGTGTGTGTGTGCATGTGTGTGAGAGTATGTGACTGTGTGTCCAATGCCATCTAATAAGCCAACACAGATGACTTCATCAGACACACAGCAGAGTGGTCACCAGAGCACATGAGAGCCACCCCCGACACTGGAGGCACCAGCTCGTCCTGTAATAAACCTTTTGGGGAGATGGGAAATGGCATTTGCGATGTCTCCACTCTTACTTCTCAATCCATCTTTGATTTCTTTGCCCCTAATTCCTCCAGTTGTATTATACTTCCAGCCTTTACCTAACTCTCCTATCTAGGTGCTCGGTAGCCTTATAGTTGCCACAAAAGAAAGGAAATCACATTCTTTACACATCAAGGAAGAAAAAAGAACACCCCATCTTTGAGAACCATTGAAGCTGACACAGCTGTTTTTTGAAAATGTGTTGTCACCCATTCTAGGAGCCCAAGTAAAATACACACTTCAGCTGTTTTCAGTACAAAGTCCCTGATCATGACACAGAAGTCACGGCCACTGCTTTCAAAGGGCTCCTATGTAAACACATACCCACTTAGACCCTCAGTCCTGCTCTGAGGCAGGACTCCAGTGACTCAGCACATCATGAAACCCCAGATTGGGAAGAGAGGAAGAAGTCACTCAACCCACTTTGTACCTCTCACCATGAGGTTTCCCTTTAAAATACCCTGAAGGATAGACACCAGCTCTCACCTGTGACCAGAGCCCAGTTTTGTCACATCATTCCACACCAATGCTTAGAAAGTTCTTTCTCGTGTTAACTAAAATACTCCTTCCAGAACCTTCTACCCATTGGTCTTTGCTCTGTCATTGTGCTATAAAAATGTAGTTATCCAATCCACAAATAGAGATGTGCAAGAAATTGGCATTTCTTCCTTTAAGTTAAGTTACAGCCACATCTGAGCCTCTGGCAGTGTTGGTGGCACCATGCCACCTCAGTGATGATAGAGTTTCCAGCCAGTAGTCAGTGACCCCAAGGCAATGAAAAGGTCCTGGGGCCACAGGCAGAGCCAAGCATCAGGACATTCCTATTCTAGTCAGTCCATGCTGGTCCACTGGGGTGCTCCTGGCCCCTTAATTTCCTGTCCTGTTTGGGGCTGTTGTAGGGTGTGCAGCCCCTGACACACCCTCCAGAGGCACTGTCACAGAAAGGAAATCAGGTTGTCTCTAATTACAGGGCGGGTCACCCCACTTGCATTCCTTCCCCCCAGAATAGCTCTTTCTCTCCTAATAAAAGTATCCACCCTCTCTGTTCTACCACTTCAAACTACTTAAGTAACTTCTCACAAACTTTATGACAGTCGGGCAGAGCCCTTCTTCCTTGTAAAGCCAGCAACAGAACCAGCCTGAATGCTTACCTGCAGTGGGGCAGAGTGGCAGGAAAGACAAATAAGGAAGGTCAACAGAGGGAGACCAAACGCAAGTCGCAATGGCCACACCCAGCAAAAATGAATCATTTTCTTAATTTTCTCCCAAATATTTGAAAATATTGTGTTTTCCCCAAATCCTAACCAATTCAGAAACTATTTCCATTTCCTTCAATTATTCCCCATAAAGCATAGTTCCCAGGTTTTTTACCCCCATCCCAACCTGCTATTGTTTGCCCAAGCCTTTCTTAAAACACGGGCCGAGACCTAGACCAGTGCCCAGTGTGGTCTGACCTTGGCAGGGATTGCAGGCCAGGATGGTCCTTGTTCTGGACATATAAACTGAAGGTAACGTCAGTTTTCTTCCCAGGCCCACGCAGAACCTGCGGTCAGGACAGAACCGCATCTCTTCTAGCACATTCTTCGCAGCGGGCACACAGACTTTGGAACAGCAGTGTGTCCAGGCCCTCACTCCCCTGCTGCCACTGTTTCTAAAGGAGATGTCTCTTTGTCTATCAATTGGGTTCATCAGCTAAACTCCCCTTTGTGGTTCAGGGGGACTTCGGCTTGTTAACAGGTCATTAACAAAGTGAATGAAACCTGGGTGCTGGATTTTCAGGAGAGTTGGTTTACAGCAGCGAGCAAGGAAGTAGAGGTGTCCATCCCAAGTGACGTTTCTGTATGTTCATTTGATTAGAGGAACCACATTAAAATCTTCCATCTGCATCTGTAGGTAAGACGCCCACGTGGAGAACAGCCCTATCCATTTAGGCTAATTGGAGGAAAGGCCAATGGAACTAGTAAAAAGTCAAATACATCTGGTAACCAAAAAGATGCTAATAAAAGGTTGCTGAGTAGAAAAAACTTCTTTGGAAACTACTCTAAGAATTCTTTCAATTAGCATACAAATTGTGTGCACAGTACATCTGTAATGTTTGACCTCAATATGCTCTCAAGTAGCAGGGCTTGCTTTAGAAAGCCCTTTTATTAGCTCAGAGGGATACTGTAGCTAGAGCCCTGGATGATTACTACAAATTACCAGGTTCCAACTTAATGAGATTTTCATGCCATAAGGATTATAGGGTCTTGGAGACAGGCAGAATCTTGGAGTTTATTGAATCTAAACTTCATCCATTGCTAAAAGCTTCTGCTAGAGTATTTTCCCTGAGTAAGGGCTATGTAATATATTATGTAGAAAATATATTACATAATACCTGGAGAAGGGGGGAGGGAGGGAGAGAGAGAGAGAGAGAGAGAGAGAGAGAGAGAGAGAGAGAGAGAGAGACAGAGATAAAATGTTTCAACTGAGCCACAATTCTTCCCTGGTTAAGTTCCACCTCCTGGTTTTAGATCTGCTTTCTGGAACAAATCATCTCTTCTGATGATTTTTCATCACAGGACATGGATAGCGTCCCATAGCTGCCCACTCACTCCCGGTCCTAACCCATTGTATGGTGGCACCCCACCCACACAGTGCATGGCAGCAAGGTGGGCACCCACTGAGCGTCAGGTGATGACAGCTTTGACTCCCTGGCCTTGAACCATTCTCTTGGCACCTCCAGTCCTTACTTTCCTCATCTGTATGTCTCCTCATGTAGCACTGTGTGCAAAGTCCCTAACACAGCGCTCCACACATAATGGGGATCAATAACTTTTTATTTTCTCTGCCCACTTCCTTTCTCAGCCAACACAAAGGACAGCGGGATGCCCTCACCTGAGATCCTGTGTCCTGCTTCTCCATGAAGGAGCTTCAGAGAGAAGCAGGTGCAGCCTGGAAATGGTGGCCCAGACAACCTGCAGCCATGTTCACAGGCCCAGCAGAAACCTCTGTTCATGGGATTGTCATCCTGGCTGCACTGAATCTCTGGGCACTTTCAACACGGTGATGCCCAGGAGGCGCCAAGACCAATGAGCCCGGCTCACAGATTCATCGCCGCGGAGTCCCTAATGCTGCCTCCTGCTCTTGTTCTAGGGCCATCCATTGACTCACCTTGTGTGTGCTAGGGTGCTGGCCATTCTGCGCTGGCTGCTGCTCACCCCAAATACACATGCACACATGCATGCACACACATGCACACACATGCACACATGCGTACATGCACACACACACACACACACACCAGCCATCATATTCTCAACATGTTGCATCATGAACACTGGACTATTTGAATTATCTCCATGAAAAACTACAACTCCATGTCCTTTCTTTGACACTTTCCCCCTAAAGTGCATAATTGCCTCCATCTGTCTTCCTACTGCTTAACTTTTTATGTGCCTATAATGAATGCACACCACATTCTGCGGTGGATGTGAACCTCTTCCTGACTTGCACATCACGTCATGGCCTGCCTGTCCCACCTCCTGCTGCTGAGCCCCTGAGTCAGCCTTCCTTTCCAGTCCGCACTGGGTTTGCTGGGGGTTGAGAGAGGGACCTTGAGGGCTTTTCCTCTCCCCTCTTCCTGTGTTGGATTTTTCTCTCTGGATCCATTGTCCTTGTGTTTCTTGAGTAGTCCTTCATCCGATAAGAGCACACTTCCAGTAGCTTCCAGAGGAAGTGTGCATGAGGGACCCTGAATGTCTGACATGCATGTGGCCGTCTCAGGATTCCAGCGGGAAGTGACCTGCCACGGTCCTGGCCCCTTACCTCCCACAGTCCAGCACGGGTGTCATTGGTGGCGTTTGCTTCCAGTTCTGCATGTGGCCCTGCTCCTTCCCCGTGACAGTGGCTCCAAGGACCACCCTTTACCCCGAATTCTGGGGTGCATGCCTCGTGGAGGGTCTGGGTCTCCCCTCAGGGAAACTCCGTTTCCCTCGAATGTTTTACTGGCCTGCCGAGCCACAGAGGTGTCTACGTTCCCGTGTCCTGAGCGCAGCATCTGCTCTTTTGTCTGAGGATGCAAACCCTCACGTTTTTACGCATCGCCTACATCATATCTGTTTCCTCTGAATAGCGTCAATTAGCTGCTTTCCCCCACAGTCTGGTGAGTTGGGCTGTCCAGGCAGGAGACAGGCTCTAAAGGGGGTGATGGCGGCTCTTTGTGCGTGCCCCGCGTGGAGCGGTCTGGCAGGAACGCAGCATCAGGTGCTGGTATTAGAGTCTATGGGGCTTCTTTCAGTGACTAATGACATTCTTCAAAGGAAAGTGTGTCCACTTCTTGTCTGGAGGATGCCCCAGTGTGCCGAAACCCCGGTGGGGGGGAAGGGCAGGGCTGTGGGGTGGCCTCACCCTTGATGTGCCGTCCCTCACTTGCCCATTCCAGCAGAGACCTGCTCTCTGACCCATGCAGGGACCAAGCCTTCTCCAGGCTGCAGCTGCCTTACTGTGAGCAGTGCAGGGAAGGGCTTCTTTTCAAGTTTTCCACAAGTCCCCAATCTTCAGGCTTACCCTCTCCCTGATTCATGGAACCTTGCTGTTTCCATGTCTGTGGGCTCGGTTGTCCTCAGCATGATGAGGCCACATTCCCCTACCCTCCAGCTCCCACAGTCTCCTGTTCTTCCTGCCCCGCGTCCCTACCCTTTCCTTTCTTTTTCTTCTTCTCTTCCTTCTACACCTCTCTGGGCATTTCAGAGAGATTTCAGATGGGAACAAAGGAAAAACCAGGCATTCAATTCACCAAACCCCCAAGATCTTTTCTACTTTTTAAACAGTGTCACGCTCCAAACTCAGGGACAAATGAAAAGAATGAATGGACCCACCAGGAAGCCTTTGTCCTCCAGGCCAGGAGGGGCTGGAGTATCTACACTAACTCCTTCTGTTGGTTACTTGGTACAAGGCAGTGGACAGTTCTGAACGACTGAGCTCTGAGCTCCTGTAACAGTTCATTACATTTATAGCAGATATAACTGTCTCTTCCAAAAGAGAGTCATCCCTCAATGCAGTAATTTCCATATTTCCTTTGTATTGTTGGGGTTCAGCATCTAGTGTGTGCCTGATAAACGTCTGTGGGACACTTGGTAAACAATGGCCTCATTCAACAATGGGTTAGTGGAGAAATGACTCAGAATGACACATTTCTTCTTTTTCCTTTAGTTTGCTTTGCTCACATACAAGTATCTACAACATGCTGCATTTTTGGTCTCTGACCAGATTCCCAGCTGTTTGAAGACATAGACTGTCCTAGAATCGTAGAACCAGAAACAGGAGCACACAGAGCCTCTTTGAGGTCATCATCGAGGCCCATGTGGCACGAGCTGTGTGGAGAAGGTGGAGGGGGTAGGAAAGGTCAGAGAGAAGACAGAGCCCAGACTGTGTGGGGCTCAGAGTCAAGACAAGACCTGGTCTTCGATCTGCCACATATGTGACCCGGCACCACTGTCTGCTGTCCCTGCATGTTGCATGCTCCTTCAGTCCTGCTCTGGCCCTCCCACCAAGACAAGACTGAGGAGGGCGTGGGTGCACAGCGGGGCAACAGGTGACACGCAGCAACGCATGTCCACTCAGTGTGCCTGGTGTCCTCGTCACTTCTGACCCCTCGTCACTTCAGCCACCACATGTCAGGCTCAACAGGGAAGGCAGGGGACTGGCGTGGAAGCTCTGCTTGGCGTTCTTCTCTGGTCGGGATGTCTACGTCAAGTGCACACCAGTGTTTCATAACCCTCACGGCCAGAGCTTGCAGCACAACCTCTGCCGCTGTGGTCCTTCTTCCTTCCCACGCCTCTCCAAGATCTGAACTTTTGAGCTCGGCCTATGGCCCAGCCCCACGCAACAGAAGCTGCTCTCGCCACAGTAGCCAGTGCCTCCAAACACCATCACTGTCCAGTGCTGCTGCAGAGGGGCCTGGAAACTAGGAGGCCCCTGGGCTTCGACCTTGACCCCTGTGTTTTGTGGCCCATGACCTTTAACTCTGACTTGGCTTTTGACTTCTGTCTTGTCTATTGAGCCAGGCCTCTGGTTCACTTCAGTGACTTCCAGTTTTTATTTAGCTCATATCGATTATTTGCTGGAACAATATTTGCCACCCTGGTTTCAGGTTATTTCATCTGTCCTTGTCCCGAATCCACAGATTTCTGGGACTTGTGCCCAGCCCATGACAAAAACGCAGCATGTAATGAATGTTACTGAAATTATTGTATTTTAAAAAACTAACCAAGTCCCTCCTGGCTTGTGGACAAGTTTGTAAAGGTGGGCACTGACATTTTCATTTCCTCAGGGCTCCCGTGTGGGATGTTTCCTTCACATGGCCATTCTATACATCTTTTCTTCTGTGTCAGGGTAGACGTGACTCCTGGAGGATGTGGACCATGACTCATTCACCCTTATGCTTCCTACACCTCTATTCAGATGCCGGAGGAGTCACTAAATTTTCACACAGGGAAGACTCACCTGGAGAACCCATGGAGCATGCACCCGCAGGCCGTGCAGGTCACTCTGTCTGTGTGCCTGAGGCAGGCCTGGGCCTGGGCATCTTCGTCAAGCTTGTGGGGTTTTTCTGCACATGTCTTTCCTCTGACATCACTCCAGCAGTCAGTCGGCACGCACACCAAGAAAGCCTGGTTGCTCCTCCCGCAGCACACTTCCTGCCTGCGCCTTCCCCTTGCTCACACTGAACTCCATGAGTGTCTGGCACAGTGCAGGCGCTCGGAGAAGCACTTGCTCGCTAATGGAGGTGGAGGATAGGCGCGTGGGAGGAACAGAGGACAAAGAACAATGTGGGGCTGCACTTCCTGCTTTGGAGCACACGTGCCGTTTCCTACATGAGAAAGACTAACATGGACAAAGCCGTCAGTGCTGTTTACACCACACGCACGTTGTGGACGGACACGCAGCAGAGGCCGGCTCCAGAGGGAAGGTGGCCGACTGCCAAACACCCAGGGCTTCCTGACGGAGTGGCCTCTGCTCTCCTTTGCAGGGGCCAGCCCCTCCTTTTTCATCACTGCTGACAGTGAAGTGCCGTTCTCCCTGAAGTCCATGACGCTGTCCTTGTCCTAGCAGCTGTCTGCCTTCCCTGCATCCCTGCTCAGCCGGCTCTCTCCTCCCTCTCCACCCGCCCACTGCTGGGTCTGGCCTGGGAGGCGCTGATCCAGCCTTGCTGGCTCCAGTCTGGGCCGCAGGTGGAAAAATGCATGACCGGTGAAGGGAAAGCATATGTGAAAGTCTGAAGCTGAGCTATGGCATGACCATTTGAGGAATGGGAACAGTCTGGTGTGGACAGAGTATAACACTCCAGGCAGAGAGGTCGGGGGTGGGGGG